TAACGGAACTTACAAAACCTGAAAAGTGAAGCAAATAATAAACAGCTAGTGTAGAGTTATCCAGATGTGAAAAAGAGGAGAAAAATAATAGCACAACCCTGAAAGGAGATGAAAAGATGTAACAGCACTATCCTGAAAGGAGATGAGAAGATGTAACAGCACTATCCTGAAAGGAGATGAAAAGATGTAACAGCACTATCCTGAAAGGAGATGAGAAGATGTAACAGCACTATCCTGAAAGGAGATGAAAAGATGTAACAGCACTATCCTGAAAGTTGAAGAAAAGTAACAGCGCTATCCTGAAAGGTGAAGAGAAGTAACGCGCGCTCTTATCCAGAAAAGTGATAGATCGTAAAAATTACCAATATAAAACTGAAAGGAGAATTTTTTTTCTTAAAGCAGCCCTATCTAGAGAGAAGAAGAAAAAAATCAGTACTATTCAGTTTTGTTGATAATAGTATCAGCTCGGTACACAAAACTATGACATGAATGTCGAAGCGAAGGATCAGATGAACGAAACAACTATCACTTCGGGCGTGTCCAGATTTGGAAGATAATATCAACTTGACAAGCCATAATCTAACCATCAGAAGTCAGTCACAAGGAATAAATAATATTAATATTGTCCTGCACATATCACTTAAACATTCCGTAGTTATATGAACGTGTCTAAGACGTGTGCTTATAGGAGAGCTGAGTTTTAAAATGCTTGTCTATATAACCAAACAAAGGAGTCATGTTTGCACTTTCTTGCAAGTAACAAGACTTTAAGCTCGAAGTTATTCGGCACTTCTGAACGGCATTCCTTGTCAAGGTAGACCGTTAGAAAAGAGCTTCGAGCTGCCTGACCTTCAGGAGTCGTCGGGGTCACAGGTCAGCTGATCGACAGTGAAGAAAAGATAACAGTGACGAATTAAGCTGGCGCAGACACGGAGGCAGGCCTATCTTCTGTTGTCGATCGGCTGTCCTTCAGCGACCTCTTCCTTCTTTGTGTTTAATAATACTTTATAGTACAGTGTGTATGTGTGTGTATTAGGGCGAGTGACGGAGTGTGAGAGTGCGTTTGAGGGGGGGGGGGAGAAGTGGAGAGAGCTCTCTATCTCTCTCTCTCTATCTATCTATCTCTCTCTCTCTATCTATCTATCTATCTATCTCTCCCTCTCTCTCTCTTTCTTTCTTTCTTTCTTTCTTCCTCTCACTCACACACAAACATACATACACACACACGCACACACTCTCTCTCACTCTCTCTCTCTCTCTCTCGCTCTCTCTCTCTCCCTCTCCCTCTCTTTCTCTCATTTCTTTCTCTTCCTCTCTTTTTCTCACTCTCCCGGCCTCTCCTTCTCTCTCATCCCTTTCCTATCTCTCTCCTCCCACAGTCCTCTCTCTCCCTCCTGCCTACCTCCTAGCCTTCTACTACCCTTTTCCTAATATTTAATGCACAACCACACCCACTCTCCCCACCCATCCCCACCTCCACACCACATCCATTCACCCTCACACCACCTTACACACCTTTATATATTACGTTAGATAGATAGATAGATAGATAGATAGATAGATAGATAGATAGATAGATAGATAGATATTATATAATGTATAAAGTATAATATTTTATGTTATATATTTCATATGTCTGTCTAATCCTTGTCTGCCATCCAGACCTGACACATCAGAATAATCAGCGAAACATCTGACGCTTCACCTGCTCTTAAACACGTTTGCTTTTATTTTTTTTCTATGGAACACTTTCACATAGTTGCATTAATTATCGGTGTGTCAGCTGCCAAGAGAACGCATTATACAATCTATGTGCGCGGCGCACGTGCAGTCAGTCCTACTGTATGAGCACACTCGCGCATTTTTTTTAATGTATTTTTTTTTCATTGAGCGAAACTAAAACGCATTAAATAGAACATGCAATTAATCACACATCAAGTGAAGTTCGACGGGGGGGTTTTTCATCACCTTTGAGCAACTTTTGACACAAAATTTCCACGAGCGGAGTTTACTAAAGTGATCATTGTGCGTTTACGAAAAAAAAGAAAAAAGACACGGATGTTATGTTCGGTTGTTAATTCGCAAATGTGTCTGGCAGTTGGGTTTATGTTTTTGTTTTTTTTATTTCTTTTTTTTTTTTAAGTTTGAAAAATGTCAACTACGATTTTGACAAACTGGTACTTGGTAGGGATTGTTTGTGTGTTAATTTGGGGTAGTTGTTTTTTGTTGTGTGTTTTTTTTTTTTTCTTGGTTTGCTTTTTTCTGTTTTGCTTTGCATCGCTTGTTTTTTATTTTTATAAAAATGTGTTTGTTTTTGTTTTGTAAAGTTTTGTTTCGTTTTCTAAGGAAGGGGAGAGTGGTGGAGTTTCTGAATGAAAACCCCCTCAACAACCCATGACCATGTATACAAATTGCTTTAAATGATAGTGTCATTTATGTGTTAACTTAATCCTTTCCCACAGTACCACCCTGTCAACAATATTAACCTTCTATTATTTTTTTTTTCATTTTATTTTGGCAGTCCTCAATCACGTTTGTTTGCAACAAAATATAAGTATCAATTCACCAAAACACTGAACCCAAGCGCTTAGAAATTAATTATACCCTTTCATTTACTGCAAAAAATATATTTGATCTTGTCAAACTAGGTTCAATATTGGCTCTACTCAGAGCAGAGCATAACTTGTTACCGTTTCTAGCCTTAGGTACACAGTTTTATATCTCGCGAAGAAGCCTATAAAAGCCTATACGACGTGGGGACTCTGTGCCACCACTTTCCAAAGAGGAAATTTACTCGCTAATTCTATCCGTACGCTTTGCATAGTAGTCTGTCACAATGATTTTTGAGAAACTCTGAAAGTTTCAAAGAGGTCTTCGTACTAGAAGTATTCTAAAATGTGAAGAATACAACAGACCCGGGAGTACAAAATGACCCCAGGGCGTACAGATAGGGTTAACTTGGTAATAGACGTGAATAAACACACCGGGTAGAGAGAATTAGAATGGTGTGCTATTCATAAGTGTTTGATCGGTGCGGTATGTACATATTTCATCACAATTATATCATTCATATCGGTGCAGGGCGCTCTGCATGTCATCCCTCTAAGTTTTCAAAAGTGGGTCTGTCTGTCTATCCGTCACTCTTCTCTTTCTCTGTGTCTGTCTCACTCTGTCTCTCTCTCTTTCTCTCTCTCTC